CTACCCGCTTCACTGATCAGGTGAGCAAGAAAATCTTGGGGCACGCTATTCTTATATCGCTCTCATTTTGAAATGTCACGTTATAATGTAATATTTGACACAGTTGTGGCAAGTATAAACAACCGATTTTCTTATTCTTATCTGTTCAACAATGACTGCCAGATTCAATACAAGTGAATTTGTTGGGTTAGCCTGTTATGAAAATACTAAATCAGCACAGCAGTTATATTCACAGAACTAACTGAGTTTAATACCGAAAATTTAAAGGAATAGTTAATCTTCTTCGTCTTCAATTACCATCAATTACAGAATTGTCTTATGCACGAGTCAGGTGAAATTATTTATTGTGAAGATGAAAAAAGTGTGAAGAAAATGTCTTTTTGTGTGTTTTAAGCTGCTTGACAATTGTCAACATAAGTTGTGTTCCTCTGCATACGAAAATCAACAGCTGGGCTACACGTCTTCTTACGCTCCGTGTTGTACAATGTGCATGTGAACATACATTTTCTAAACTTAAGATTAACAAGACCTAGCCACGTTCCTCTCTACACACGATCATTTAGAGCCACTTCTGCAAATTGCTGTTGAAAAGGACATTGAAACTAAAATAAAAATAAATTAGATAGGTTTGCCATGCCACCTGAAAAATAACTAAACTAATAATGTAGTAGTATTCATTTGATTATTTTAAGGTGTTTTAAATGTAAAAATTAAAAATTGTTATATTTACATTGAGATTGATTGGATTTGTATCATTTAAGTCGTTGTTTTTCTTGTTGTCATCATATGACCCGAGAGCTCCATCAGTCTGCCACTGTATGTATATATAAAACCGAGATTAGCAGACAATAGAGAAATAAGAATGAGTTAATTATATATTTTACATTTTGGTGTTGGGTTAATTTTCAATTAATATGATAACAGTTACAATTAGCAGTTAACTGATTTAAAAATAAGAGAGTCAAATTTATAGCATATTAGCTCGATGTCAACTGGAAACCATTCTAAGCACAAAAGAAAATGTCAATAATCCACAGGTAGCAGAAAACTTATAAGATGAAAACGTGATTGACACTTGAGGAAAACTGTGTTAAGTAATAAAATAAACACAATCTTAAGATACGGATGTTTCGTCTAACGGTTCACTTTATGAAGTTTTTTTTTGTTGTTTAAAAATTACACGCGATGTCTTATCTTTAACGTTTTGACATTTAATTATTATTCCTGATGCAGCGAATTCGACTACGAGGCCTTGCCTTTGACATTTGGATATGTACTAAGATTTGGAGTCACTTGAAATTTACCATTTGACAATTTCGGCGAGTCTAACAACGTACTGGGTTAGCAAATTAAATGCATAATAAAAATAATATCTGAATTGGTTACAGCGTATAACTTGTAATAATTGAAGCAAGGAAAACAGATAAATTTATAATATGGTATGGAATGCTGAAACATTTGCCAATTAGGAATGTAATAAATTAATTTAACATGAACAACTTTTAATATTACATTATAAATAATTTGTTAGTATTATCAGAGGGCGTGCTTTACAGTCTTACACAAAGAAATCGAAAATGCCCAACGATTAATATCAAATATTTATTAGATCGTGTGAAGTATAGGTACTTCATCAAATGTTAAAGGTAAACCTCGTGGGTTCATTATTATACTGCATCGCGTTTTTCTTCAAGCAGCTAAGCTATTTTCGTGTTGTTTTTTTTAGCAGTTTCTTATTAGTAAAGATGTGATAAAACGTGGATTATACTGATCTTGACTGAGACCAGCGTATAAAATAGCCTTTGATTTGTGGCAAAGTTACTAACAGTCTTATGTTAGGTCTCGTTCAGTAACAAGCATATTCGAATTACTCATTTATATTTCGAATGTTTTTTTTTTTCTCTTATCGATCACACTTCAAGAAGCGATATTTGTTTGGAAATTTTCTGCTTCATTAAAAAGCGACAGGTTCAAAGATTGAAGGTACAGTTAAAATGGAAAACTAGGGTGGTTAACACTATAAATCAAGATCTCCACACCAACGAGTCTCTCACTATTCAAGGTCCTAGCCCAGTGGAATGTTGAAAAAAATAACCAATATAAACAATTCATGGTTAGGTTTGAGTAATAGTTACTCAAACTTTATTCCACTACAAGCAATTTAAGTGATAAATCCAACTAGCTATAAGTATGACCATATTTCTAATTGTTTGCAATAACTTTTGCTCATATATTAGCCTATTTGCCAGAATTTGTTTACTAGGAATTTAAGAAAAATACTAATATCTGGTATGTTTAAAATGTAGCCTACATAATACTGGTTTGTGTTAACATGATATTCAGCTATTAAAATATAGTGTGACTTTAACATAGTGTATAAACCTATAAAGTTATTTGAGTATTTTTCAAAAATTTGGAATCGAATGGGTTTAGAATATGATATGCGTATTCTTTTCACAAAATCTAGGGTCAATCTTAAGAAAAGGAGAACTAATAAAACTTGAATCGATTTTCAAATCACGTAGAATTAACCATAATTGGTATTACTTTCATTGTCTTGTTTATTTTTAAGCGTATACTGACACAATGGGCTATCTCCGCTTTGCCCACCACGGGTATAGAAACCCGACTTTTAGGCGTGTAAACTATAGGGCGTACCACTGCGCTACTTGGAAGCACGTTACAATACATAGAACTGAAATCACGACATAACAAGTACTAGTGTGATGGGATATTTTAAAAACGGGACGTGTACAGTTGTCTTTAAGCTCATTCTAACTCTAATGTCTTCTATGACACAAGAATTTTAACAAAAATCATATTTGAAACTGTATGTGTCTTTATGTTATGAACTCACAACACTTACATCCAAGTTTATTAAAACGGCCAACTTGTTGTTTAAGACCCATAACGATGAGGAAAAAGCTTATACTTATGAAGGCCAGTCGATTTATCATATTCAATCTTTTCCCGTTCAAAATTTCTTCGGGTTATTACAATGACTGTCAGTTCAAGGTCATATATTTGTTTGTTTGTTGTTAAGCGAGGAGCTACACAATAAGTTATCTGAACTGTAATGCGAGTATCGATTTTTAGTGTCATAAGCTTTCAGACTACCATTGAGCCTTTGGGGAATCAAAGTAATAAGTATTATTATTTTTAAATCAGACACACTCACACACAAGTTACACAAGTATTGGCGTACAGATAAAGATAAAACTTTAATTGTTTGCTGCCATACGCCAATGTGTGATAGATAAAAAAAAAGTATACAAATTAGTTTAGCAAACTAATGAGCATTGTAACCAAGCTAGTAACTAGAGAAAAAGTAGACTATCGCCTTCAGCGTTTTGTTTAGAAAGTCAGTATAAACGCTTATGTATATATGTATGTGTGTGTGTGTGTGTCCACGTACACATAAACATTGCTTAAATGACATTTTTGTACATTGTTTAGTAATTAAATTTTAAACTGCTGGTAATAGCTAAACATGGTCACTGTGACGACGAAAGTCATAATGTGTTGTTGGTGAAGTGCTAAAACTGGACGTGAAAATTCTACTAACTTTTTCTTAGTAACTTTTAGCCGCGGCAAAGCGGCTCATAGAACGGCTCTGGGGTTTTTTTTGTTGCTTGTTTTTTTTTTTTTTTTTAGTTACAAACTTTTAGTCCATAGCTCCGTCATTTCTTGACCGATTTGAGATCTAATTTCAGTTTTGGACCCAGGAGGTCAAAGCCTTTCGACTGATGTATTTGACCACGCCCGACATCTCATTGATTAATTTACTCTACTCCTGCCTAAAAGAATTTCAATTTGAGGGTAGAGATCCTAATGAGTAATAAAATTGAATGGTATACGCACACCCCAAGCTTGGTATTGCTGGCACACAAAAATATAGCTAATAAAAAGAAAAAATGTTTCACGGATTAGTTTACTCTAATCCTGCCTACAATAATTTCAAGTGCCGCGGTTATTGAGTATTATCCCTTTTTGTATATATCGTTTGATTTGAATTTGGCGAAAAGCTGCATGAGGGCTATCTGAGCTAGCCACTCACCCAACTCTTGGGTACTCTTTTACCAACGAATAGTCACAACGACCGTCACATTATAACGACCCCACTAACGAAAGGGCGAGCATATTTAGCGGGACGGGGATTCGAACTTACGACCCCAGAGTACGAGCCTAGCGTCCTAACCACCAGACCATACCAGACCTTTTTTATCGTCTAGAATTTGTTCTTACATATAATGAGTAAACATACTTATTCCATTACATGTACAGTATTTGCTTTTGAAATGCTCTTGTTATATATATAGGCATAACATTATATTCATGTACTTGGTACACATTATAAATAGCTATTACACCGGGGGAACCTAAAATATACTATTTTACATATGTATATACATAAAAATACACCATTCTCGATCTGTATATA